GCTCTCCACAAACTGACAGGAAGGCCCTATTGCTGATAGTGCCTTCCACAACTCATTGAACACGAAGAAGTCGAGCTGGTGCCTACCTAGAGCCATACCCGTTTGGATTAGTATTCATGGTCCTGGAAGGCGTGCTGCACGTTACCAAAGGAGAAATGTAACCACCCACACAGCTACCAACCCTTTGATTTACAATGGTGACCTGCTTTCAAGATCGCTGGCGCACCAGCAGAACAAAGGTTGTGGGAATAACCAACCAATATCTGGTTTGAATTAAGGCTCACTCCATGAGCTGGAGTACATGTCCAACACTGCTTGGGTGGCCAAGAACCCGAGACTAGATAGGCCAGGGACCTAGGGAAGAACCAAACGCTACTGTTTTGCCAAGGGTAGATAGCAATAAAATGACTTGTAATGGCATTCTTCTGCTGTACTCACAGATCAGTGTCTTGCTCAGCCATCATCAGAGGAGCTTCCTCCCACAGCAGATGGGAACCAATACAGAGACCCACAGCCAGACAGTATGCAGGGAGTGGGAGACCTTGGAACACTCCTTGGCCTAAATGGGATGACTCCACCAAGACTCAAGAGCCCTGAGGAAGAGAAGGCAGAAAGAGTGATAGAGTCGTAAGAGAGTTTCTGAAGCCAGAATCCACCTTGCAGTTCTCACAACACAGAACATGAATCTTTCCGTCACCCTTTGGAGGATTACAGTAATTAATAATTCTTTTGCTTAGAAAAGATGCGTTCTATTTTTTCAAACTCTTTTTTTAAATTGTCTGCATTGTTTAAATACAAACTAGTTTGTAAAAGGGAAGTATTTTTTTTTAATTTAAACTTTTTATTTGGGGGAAATTCACGTATGAATACTGTATTACATCATGTCCACTCCTCCTTTTCTATCTCCATAAATTAACATTAACTAAAGAAAAGTACACAGTGAAAAGGAAAGAAAGAAAGAAAAGGAAGGAAGGAAGGGAGGAAAGCGGGGAGGAAGGCAGGCAGGGAGGGAGGGACACGCACAAACCCAGGAATCAATACCTACAAGTATAAATGTGAGAGAGTAGACATAGTGCATACATTTTCTTAATTATGTAAGAATTGTGTCAGAAAAATAAAAACTTTCCAAAAGTACTCCACAATTCTAAATAAAGGCAATCGATGCTCAACTAGGTAACGCTCATATAATACCTCGATTACTGCTCACTATGTTGACACTAGGTCGACTCACTGTTACACGAGAGAAGTAAGGTGTCCTCTTAGAAGGTGACAGGGATAGACACTCCACTTCTGCTTCCATCGTTTCCATCAGAAAGGGTGAGAAAAGAGAAAGTCAAGCAAGCAATGAAAATGGGTCCTAAGTAGGGCGACGAGTCTGGTTTCCAGGGTCATCACATAACAATATTCAAACATCCAGTTCCATCAAACAACTGTGAAGCATGTAAAGAAATAAATAGAACAGTCCATTTATAGAAGAAATCAGTAAGTGTTCCTGAAGAAGTACAAACATTGGACTTACCAGACAAAGTTTGTGAACTATCAGTATTAAATATGCTCAATGAGCTACTGGGAACCAGGAGAATGAACATGCATGAGCAAATCAAGAATATCAATAAAGAGACAGAAATTATGGGAAAGGACTAAGCAGAGTTCGGGGCTGAAAAAGACATCCGGGGTGTTGAGCCATCAACACCAGATGGCTCTATAGATTTGATGCACAAACACGCACTACTCTTGGGTCATGGAGGAGTACATAAGATCGCAGATCTACATTAGTTTAGGTTGTAAAAGATGATTATATGAGATATCCAAGGCAAATAAAAGCTGTTGTTACATTTTTCTCAGGTTAAACAAATAGGCTGCATACACAGTAGGATAACAATCTTAAGTTTTTATTTTGATTTTAAATATGTTTATGTGACATAAGTTTTTCTTCACCCAACAGAAATGTTGGTATGTAGAAGCTCCAGGTGAAGCTGGCAGAGATGGACACTCAAGACAGAGCCCACCCCATTCTACGTTATAATTTTCAAAATTATTTTTCATACAATATATTCTGATCATGGTTTCCCCTCTCCCAACTCCTCCCAGATCCTAAGCTCCTCACCTCCCCAACTTCACCTATTCTCTCTCTCTCTCTCTCTCTCTCTCTCTCTCTCTCTCTCTCTCTCTCCTCTCTTCTCTCTCTCTCTCTCTCTCTCTCTCTCTCTCTCTCTCTCTCTCTCTCTCTCTCTCTCTGTCTCTCTCTCTCTCTCTCTCTCTCTCTCTCTCTCTCTCTCTCTCTCTCTCTCTCTCGAAAACAAACAAAGGTCTTGAGACAGTCTTAAGAGACCTCAAGGTCTATTATTAACTCTGGCTGTGAGGTCCAGCAAAAGTTCCAGTCTCTTAGAATGTAAGAGATATTTTTTATCATAATACATTGCCATAGGTCCCCAAACTATTTAACTTTGGAGGGAGCATAATAAGTGGTGATCGAAAACTGGATCTTTTCAAGCAATGGATTAAGTTTGGCAATATCTCACACCATGCACAAAAATCAACTAAAAACTGAATCAACAATTTAAATATAAGAGTTAAAACTAAGGGTTGAATGTATGGCTTAGCTCAGTTGGCAGAGTGCTTGCCTTGTCTGGCACACATAAAGCCAGGTGCTCTATCCCTGGCACCACAAAAACCATACATTGTGACACATGCCTGTGACATCAGCATTTGGGTGGTAGACACAAGAGGATCAGAAGTTCAAGGTCATCTTCTGCTACACAGCAAGTTCAGGACCAGTCTGGGACATATGAGACCCTGTCTCAAAAATAAAATAAAATAGTACAGAGATTTTAAGTTTCTTGGAAGAAGTAAGATTAAATGTTCATGACCACGACTTTGACAGTGGTCCTTAGACATAACAACAAAAGAATAAGTACCAAGAGAAAGAGATAGATGAACTAGACAATCAAAATTAAAACTTCTGTGCAGAAGAAAACAAATCAAGACAGTAAAAAAAAAAAAACAAAACAAAAAAACAAAAAAACCACCCTGCAGGATGGAATAAAATATTTACCTGATCATAAAGACCTGTGGTGATATATGGTGTATCCTAATAAAATTTGCCTGAAGATCAGAGAACAGAACAAGCCACTAGATTAAACATAGAGGCCAGGCAGTGGTGGCACATGCCTTTAATCCTAGCACTCGGGACACAGAGATCTGTCTGGATCTCTGTGAGTTCAAAGTCACCCTGGACTACATGAGATTGACTCAGTCTAGGAGAGAAACAGAGATAGACGGTGGTGGCACACACCTTTAATTCCAGTACTTGGGAGTCACATGCCTTTAATCCCAGCACTAGGAAGGAAGTGATGGCTGGGCAGAGAAAGGTATATAAGGCACGAGGAGACAGGAACTAAGGCTCTTTTGGCTGAAGATTTTTCAGCTAAAGCCCTTTTCAGCTGGACCCCTTTCGGCTGAGGACTCAGAGACATTCAGTCGGAGGATTAGTTGTCGAAGTGGGACATGGCAGTGGCTTGTTCCTTTGTCTCTCTGATCTCTCAGCATATACCACATTAGATTTCGAGCAACAGGGACCTGCAAACACGTATAAGTAAAGAACTGAATATAAAACCCTTCAGTTTAAGAATGGGCAAGGAACATTTCTCCAAGATATACAGATGGTCGAGAAGTACATGAGATGTTTAGTATCATTAGTCACTGGGGAAAGGGAAATCAGAATCTCAGAGAGAGGTAACATCCCATCTGCAAGGACGGCAGTAATCACAAAGAGGGGAAACAGAAGGTGTCTTGATTTAAATTTGGATGGTGAGAAATTAGGTGTGGTGTGGTGGCACATGCCTATAACCCCAGCACCAGAGAGATGGAGGCAGGGGGGTCAGTTTAGGTCATCCCCAGCTACATAGTTATTTGGGTTATATGAGACCTGTTTCAAACAAAACAGGTAATAGAGAACTTTAGAGTCCTCTTCCTTGGCTTGTGTGAGAGAGAGAGGCTCTGCTGGTAGCAGCAGACGCTCGCAGTGTGTCCACATCATGGCGGACCAGGAAGCAGAAAACAGTCCAAACCTGGACTCGGAGCTTTCACTTTCAAAGGCCCACCCTATGTGAAGCAGGTCCTCTCTTACTGCTACCAACTGGACACCACCTCCCAGAGGCACCAAAGCCACCAGCTGGGGAACAAGCATTGAAAACACAAGTCTGTAGGGGACATTTCAGATGCAAGCCACAATGAGATCTAATCTGGGCTCAACTCTGTTTCTTAGTAACTTGGCTGGCAGAGAAAGGTTTTGAGAGAGGATGGTGTAGGCTAAACCACTCTGATAAGCAGATTTATGTTAAGATATGTATGACTGAGAGTTATGTAATGTTGCATTTGAAGAAAAATCTGTTTTCTAAAGGTACAATTTAATGGGCCCAGATCTTATTGTGGTAAGATTTTTGTTTTAGGTGGGCAGACAATCTGGATGCTGCTACTTTTTTTTCTTCTGGTTTTTCGAGACAGGGTTTCTCTGTGTAGCTTTGTGCCTTTCCTGGAACTCACTCTGTAGCCCAGACTGGCCTCGAACTCACAGAGATCCGCCTGCCTCTGCTTCCTGATTCTTTCTTTTTTTAAATGGACACGGATCTGTATATTATATAGAAAGAATGTATAACATTCCATATTCTATTTAAATGCAGCTTGAGAATTTTCAATCATAATGATAAAACCCAAATAGGCAATTTCCAAATGTCTGCTTGGAATGTGACACTTATACTAACATCGTCTATAAAATATATATGACAGAAAGGAGTCACTAAGATGCCTGTCACCACCGGAAGTCACCGTCAACGGCTCATGAATATTCTCCAACGCAGTTCACAATCCAGCGTAACCTACTAGCATAACTCCAAGAATAAATAAGTGGTGAGTTAGACATAGTATTTATTAAGCTAGCATAGTTTCTACGATGGTTTGTACCTCTCAGTCACCAGTGACATTTGTTTTATCGTTACGCTTTAAAAATCAGCATACGGGAGACAGGCAAAGGCCAGCTCTTCGTTTGTGCACCCCATAAGACAGCATTTATCTGAGAAACCTCTGTGTTTCCTTTGGGCATGTTTCCCCCAAAATAAACTGCTGAAGGTGTTGATTTCGTTTGTGCTTTTCTTCTGAAGTTTTACATTCTCAACATAGGGATTGACATCGAGGGATGAAAACTCTCTTGATTTCTCAGCAAGCAAGCTGGCCTTTTCAAACTGATGGTCCGGCAGTGGCTGGGGTCCCCAAGTTTTTCTTGAGGCAGATGCAGGGCGTGGGTTTGTGAATCTTCCCGGGGTCGAAGAAGGGATTTGGTCAAGGCTGACGATTTTGACCTGGTGTGAGGGCTGTGTCAAAGTAGTTTTCTCATTCAACTCGATCTGGCTCTGAGAAGATCGGCCACAGAGTTTCATAATTTCTATCATCAGGTCACTGCCGCACAGCTTCCTGAGTTTGCTGTCCTCTTGCCCCTGGGAGAAAGTAGCCTTTAGGAGTCCAAGCCACAACAGACATGAACAGGACAGATGCTTCATCCCTGGGCTCCGCCGCACGCCCCGCCTCCTCCCTACCAAACCACGCCTCCGCCCCGCCCCTCTCGCGCAGCCCTGGGGCTGCTCTCCTGCCTCCGCAATCTTCTCCAGAACGCTGAGGTTAGGTGTGTTCCAGGCGTGCTGGGACTTCCGGCTTGCAGGAAGTTGAACAAAACAGGCTCTTTTTTCGCTCAGAAATGGAAGTAAGAAATATCTTTGTTCCCTGGCTTTTTATTCATTTTCCTTGTCGTACCCGTCCAGAGACTGCCATTAACATAAGAGAACACAGGACCCCGAGTAACCAAAAATGTACTGATGGAAGATGCTGAAACTAACCTGGAATGTGAACTCCTTTTTGCCTAGTGGCTGCATGAGACATCTCTTCCCTTCGGAGAAACATCCTCTCATCTCCTTCATGGGTTATATTTTTTAACTTTAAAAAATTCTTACTGGAGCTAGAGAGATGGCTCCGCGGTGAGGAGCATTTGCTACTCCTGCAGAGGATCCAGGTTCACTTCCCAGTACCCACATGGCAGCTCACGATGGTCTGTCACTCCAGTTCTGGCCTCCGTCAGTACCAGACAGACATGTGGTGCATATACAGACATGCAGGCGAACACTCATACACATCAAATACAGTAAATAAACCTTTTCAAAATTATTACTTTTTTTTTTCTGGTTAGCACACAAAGTAATGGGCTTCACCAGGGCATCTTCTCACATCGATGACATTACACTTTGTTCTCACTCATCCCCTTCTCTCTCTGTCCTCTCCTGTATCTCCCACAGGTTCAATAATTCCCCCTTTCTACTTTTTTTTTTAACCTTTTATTTTTCTTTATTTAATTTTTTTTTCATTTTACATACTAACCACAGTTTCCCCTCCCTCCCCTCCTCCTGCCCTCTCTCCACCCCCCACCCCACTCCTCCTCCATTCCTCAGAGAGAGTAAGGCCTCCCATGGGGAGTCAACAAAGTCTGGCACATCAAGTTGAGGCTGGACCAAGCCCCTCCTCACTGCATCAAGGCTGAGCAAGGTATCCCACCCTAGGGAAGGGGCTCCAAAAAGCCAGTTCCCACACCAGGGATAAATCCTGGTCCCACTGCCGGGGGCACTATGAACAGACCAAGCCACACAACTGTCTCCCACATTCAGAGGGCCTAGTTTGGTCCCATGCAGGTTCCCCAGCTGTCAGTCCAAGTCCACAAGCTCCCACTAGCTCAGGCCAGCTGCCTCTGTGGGTTCCCCCATGATGATCTTGACCCCCTCTGCTCATACAATCCCTCCTCCCTCTCTTCGACTGGATTCTGGGAGCTTAGTCCAGTGCATAATGTGGAAATGTACCACATTTTCTTTCTCCATTCTCCAGTTGAGGGATATCTGGTTGTTTCCAGGTTCTGGCTATTATGAATAATGCTGCTATGAACATAGTTGAGCAAGTGTCCTTGTGGTATGCTTGAGCATCCTTTGGGTATATGCCCAAGATTGGTATAGCTGCGTCTTGGGGTAGATTGATTCCCAATTTTCTGAGAAACTGCCATATTGATTTCCAGAGTGGCTGTACAAGTTTGCACTTCCACCAGCAGTGGAGGAGAGTTCCCCTGCTCCACATCCTCTCCAACATAAGCTGTCTTCAGTGTTTTTGATCTTAGCCATTGTGACAGATGTAAGATGGTATCTCAGAGTCGTTTTGATTTGCATTTCCCTGATGGCTAAGGATGTTGAACAATTCTTTAAGTGTATCTCGGCCATTTGAACTTCTCCTGTTGAGAATTCTCTGTTTAGATCTGTACCCCATTTTTTAATTGGATTATTTGGTATTTTGATGTCTAGTTTCTCGAGTTCTTTATATATTTTGGAGATCAGCGCTCTGTCAGATGTGGGGTTGGTGAAGATTTTTTTCCCATTCTTTAGGCTGTCGTTTTGTCTTATTTACTGTGTCCTTTGCCTTACAAGAGCTTCTCAGTTTCAGGAGGTCCCATTTATTAATTGTTGCTCTCAGTGTCTGTGCTGCTGGTGTTATAGTTAGGAAGTGGTCTCCTGTGCCAATGCATTCAAGGCTAGACAATCTGGATGCTTCTTAACTGACATCACTTAAGATTTACTGCATTTAGAGCATTTATACACACACGGATAACCTGGGCCTCTTGTTAAACTTGCTTTAGACTTGGTAGGTCTGGGATGACCTGAGATTCTGTATTTCCAACAAGCTCCCATGGGGTACTAACATTCAAGTAGGGGCTACCCTTATTAGGGGGGTCCGGATGACCACAAGCCCTTTGTTGACAACACAGATGTTCTAGAGTGAGTTCCTCTTTTTTAGAGTGCATTCATCATTCCATTCATATGTCCTCAAAAAGTTAGCACTCTCATGCTACATAGCAGTTCTATTCCCAGTGCACACACTCAAGATGTGCCAACACGTCCTCTACAATACTTAGACTATTGTAGCCCTACTTATAATAGCCCCCCGAATAGAAACAACACAGATGTCCATCACCTGATAAATGCCTAAATAAAAAGTGTTACATACATGTGGTAGAATGTTATTCAGCCATGAAAGGAATGAAGAATTGATAATGTTTATGAACCTCAAACATGTCATAAGAGGGGGAGCTCGGATACGACAGCCAGGTATTGATGATCTCATCTATGTTTGTTTTGTCTCGTGTGTCCCAGGCTGGCCTTAAACTCTCTATGTAGCTGAGGATGACCTTGAGCTCTGGTCCTCCTACCTTTATTTCTCATGTGCTGGGATCACACACATCATCAGGCATGGCCAGTTTAATGTGCTGCTGGGGACTGAACTCCAGGTTTGACACATGCTAGATGATCATTCTGCTAACTGAGCTATACCCATGGCCCTGATTCTGATATGGAATATTGGGGTGTTTTTGGGAGGAGTGGAGCTTTTTGGAAGGGAGCTAGGTTCCCAGTAACTTGACACCCACCAAACCTGCCTCAAACCAATGGCTTTGTTCTTGTCTCACACATTTGAAGAAGGAAACTCATGGGCCACAGAGAGTGGGTTTTAGAGAGAGGCTTTTGAGAGATCTCATAGGTGGGGCTGGAGAGGGAAAGAGCAGAGCTGCTAAATAACAGGAGGGGTCTCCAGAAACATGGTGCCATCGAGTCTGGGGCCTTCTTAAAAAAGATGTCGGAGCCTAAAGAATAGAAGGAAATCATGTTTCTCTAAAGAATCTTAGAAAGTCATCTCCCCTTTCCTCCAGCTTTCCTAATTAAGTGTCTCCCACTTAATTTTTTTTTTTTTTGAGTGGGTGGCAAATGTAGCCGCTGGTCAGGATCTACATCAGCATGAAAAGGGAATCCAGTGGATGGCAGGATCAGATCCTGTACACAGGGAAAGAATCATTGTGTTTCCCAGAGTGTGCGCTGCAGCAGGACTGTCTTCAGTGCACGCCACCTGTTACCTCCCCAGTCCTAATAACAAATGTGCAGCGTGTGCTGTTGCCCTTTCCATCTTCCAGAGACCGACCCTGGTAAAGAGAATGGAGTCCACTAGTTTGTTTTATTCTCCGGTTACCCGACTTTTGTGGGCTTGGAAGTTTTGAATACAGGGTTTGGTGGGCCTTTTTTGTTTGTCTTTGTCTCAATCTTTTAGAAATACAAACAGGAAAAAAAAATCTTGTTAGTGGTTTCTATTTAAGTAAAATGTACTACGCACCTTAATTTCCAAATAAGAGGTCCAGGCTTCGAAGAAAGATGCTACGTTAATCTCCACCCTCCAAGGGGCAGCAACAGGCCAGGTCCTTGCTAGGAACTTTGGTATTTACTTGTAATTCTGATAACTACTTTGTCAAGGTAATTTTAGGATTGCTGGTTTTAGAATCATCATAAACAGAAGCTTGGTGGGGGAACTTACTGAAAGCTAACACATGGCTCAGACTAGAATGAAACCCAGGTCTGCTTGACCCCTCTAGATTGCAAGCCCTGCCTTACGGCAGTAGCTGCGGGAAAGCAGGGAAGGTCGGGTGTCTTTTTGACGGCTATTTCTAGGTTATTTTTAACATCTAGCACGGAATGGCTTTCGAGCGACATTGACCATGATAGGCAGGCCCTAGGCAAAGGCTGCTCCTATGGATAGCTTCCTGGTGATGCTAGAAGTGGCCATCAGAGGCATACACAGAAACTCGTAGCTGCAAAAGAAGTGGATGTACTCTTACAGGCATGCTGAGTGTGATGGCTGGCCTGCTTCTGGGATCATGAGGAGAGCAAGTGATGGTCACTAGCAGAAGACTCAGACCAGGCCATGCAACGCTGCCTGGGAGAAAAACCTCCAGCTGAACAGAGTCCTGCATTTGGGTTGAAGCATGCTGGCAGGTGTGGCAGGAGAGTCCGGGTCTTACAGCGTATGGCCCAATGCTTTTCTGCTTTTTCCTTCTGCTCACTAGCCCACTCCTATGCTCAGTAATGTTTTACTCTTTGCTTTTTAAAAATAAACAAGAACCTGGGACAGGTTGGCACTTATTAAAAAAAAAAAAAAGACTTCTGGCAGAAATGGAACTTGTGAGGTCTGGACAGGGGAATGAGCCGGTCAGTGCAGCTGGCCCCACCAAGTGTCCAGGTACCACCTCTCTTATAACTAACATAAGAAAAACTATATACAAAAGTACAATAACTATATGCAATATATACAAGTAATAAATACCTAAACAATGTCTAGTTCATTTGTATTTGACAAATTCAGAGAAAATAATTCCATTATCTATCCTATTATATCTAATTCACTTTCTATCCTAATTAATCTTCAACTATAACTAACTAATCTTCAACTCCCTCAGAGACCCAAGAAGGAAATAATATTAGCTAACAAAAAAACACTCAGACACTTTGTCACCTGTGGTCTTCAGGCAGAAGGTGCTCATTTAGGAGATTGGGAAGCAGGAACTGGAATTCTCTTCTAGTGTTCCAAGAAGGACATTCTTGGAACTGTTGCTTTGATGTCCGAGAACTCCTTGATCAGTTTCTATCTCTTGTTCTCA